TGTGTTTTAATACGCTTTAATGCAGATCGATATTTGACAGCTCGCAAAGGATTTTTGCGCCTCGCGCCTTTCCCTTGTGTTTCTCTTTCTTCCTGTATTTTTTCTTCTTTTTTCTTTTCCCTCTCTCCTCTCTCTTTTCTCTTTTTACGCATGATGACTGCGCGAATGCGACGCTTCGAGGTCACGAGCGCAATGTTTTTGCGATGGATCGAGAAAACGAAGGAAGGAAACGAAGGAGAGATGGGGTGAAATATGGATATGGATGAGAGAGAGATAGAAAGGGAGAGGAAGAGGGAGAAAAAGGTGGGCGAATTGAAAAGTTGTAGACCGTGAACGAAATGTTTTAGAAAGAATGAATTGTCTTTTTTTTTTTTTTCTTTCTTTTTTTTTTTTTTTATAATTTGTTTCTTTCTTTCTTCCTTCCTCCTCGTAATAGAGATTTGCGTGTTTTATATATGGTATATATAGATTTAATTCATCGATCGTTCTAGACGCGTATCGCTTTTTCTCTTTCTTTTCAAATTCGTTCGCACTCGACGTTTACACCCTGCGTTTGTTCACTGGGATGTATCATCGATAACTATCCTTTGAAATAATTGATAAACGGTTGATGGGAGTCGAGGGAGGAAAAAACTCTTGTTGTCGTTAAAACTCATGTTGTCCTATTTCTTTGTGAAAATAATATGTTTCATTCAAAGATTTTTTTTTTCTTCTTCTTTTTATGGAAAAGTTGTGTTTTCGATACAATGAAAAAAGTAAAATTATCAAGTAGCATTCACTTTTACGAAAAAAAGTATTGTACTCCTTATTTATTTATTTATTTCAATATTTTTACATTTTTATTGCAAAGCACAATTCTTTTTCTTCGAATTGATGAAAAAAAAAAAACGATAAAAAGAGGATTTAAAACGTCAACCATTTAACAATCATCTCGAACAGCAATTATTAAGATTCATAATTATATACACATACACAGGGTGTTTCGAAGCTTTTTCTTTTTTTCGGAGAGAAAAACTTGCGGTCGCAGTTATTTTCAGAAATAGCATATTTATAAATTAGATGCAGCTTGAATAATTGCGAATCGTACAGGATTCCTTTTCTTTCGATACAATCGATGGCTAAGATACTAATGTTCATTTCTGTGTCCGTGTAACTGGCTATGTTAGCAGAGAATGGGAATGAAAGGAATTGCGCACGATTACGATCCTTTTGCATCTTTTTTTTTTTTTTTTTTTTATTTTGTATTCGTGTGCACTCGATAGGTACTCGCGAAGGATAAAGACATCGGAGATAATGGAAAAATTCAGTACAGTATCAAGGGTGGGCGAGGCAAGGGCAAGTTCAAAATTCACCCTACCACTGGAATGGTGTACTCTCAACGCGGATTCGAGGCTGGACAGGAGTACGAGATGATGGTGAGAACGATTAAAAATTAAAATAGATTTATCCATGTAGAAAAATATTCGATTATCTTTGATTATTATAGCAAAATCACATTCGATTATTAACTTATCCTAATTTATTGTTTCCTTTAAAACATTTTATTCTTGAATCTAATTCTAACGTTTAACCATATAAATCCTATTAATAATAATATTTATAATAATATTTATATTAAATTAATAACAATATTTATTCTATTCCTCTACGAATCGTTAAATTAAATTAAATTCACTTCTGGAGCGTGTAACACATTTTAAAACGTAAAAACCATCATCAATCTTTTGATTATTATAACAAAATCATATTCGATTATTAGCTTATCCTAATTCATCCTTTTCCTTTAAAACATTCTATTGCTGAATTTAATCCTAACATTTAATCATATAAATATAAATTATTAATAATAATATTTATAATAATATTTATATTAAATTAATAACAATATTTATTCTATTCCTCTACGAATCGTTAAATTAAATTAAATTCACTTCTGGAGCGTGTAACACATTTTAAAACGTAAAAACCATCATCAATCTTTTGATTATTATAACAAAATCATATTCGATTATTAGCTTATCCTAATTCATCCTTTTCCTTTAAAACATTCTATTCCTGAATCTAATTCTAACATTTAACCATATAAATCCAATTAATAATAATATTTATATTAAATTAATAACAATATTTATCCTATTCCTCTACGAATCGTTAAATTAAATTAAATTCACTTCTCGAGCGTGTAACACATTTCAAAACGCAAAAACTATAAATCGGATGGAGTCATCAATTTATTCGAGAATTAAACGAAAACATTAGGTCCACGATACATAATCGTTCCCCATAAAGGATCACGTTACGAACAGTGCACGATATGGAAATCCAACACGTTCGAAAAGTCATAATTCATGGTCAATCGGGAAACAGTTTCCTTAATAACAATTTAAGTTCGAGTTTAACTTGGCCACCTTGGCCTCCATTTGTTAGATAAGAGCGGCAGACTGCGGGGAACCGCAGCGCAGCCATCAAACACGGGTGTCGGTGCAAGTTGTCGAGGTACCAAAGGAATCCGAGAACCCACCAGTCTTCAAAACGAACAATCAGAGTGTCGAGGTTACGGAGAGCGACAAGGTCGGGTTTCTCGTGGCACTGGTCCAGGCCACCGACAAGGATGGCGACTATTTGTGGTACGATATCATTGGTGAGTAACCGAGTCGATCTCTCCTTTCTCAAAATCGATCCATCATTTATCTGAAAGAGAATAGAGGAAAAAAAAGAAGAATCAAACAGTCAATATTGAGTTTTTAATGAAGCAATAATAACGTACAAATAATATTTGTATCGAACGTGTATAAAAGGAAAGTTCCTTTTTTATTATTTTTGAAGAAAAAAAAAAAAGAAACGAGAAAAACCTGGAATTTTCCAGACGGCGACAAAAGGGACGAGTTCTTCATCGGTCGAGACAACGGAAACGTGCTGCTAGCGAAGAAACTCGATTGGGAAACGCAAAACTTTTACAACCTGACGATCCGCGTGACGGATAGCGTGGAATCTGCTGTGACCCAACTTCTGGTCAACGTGATCGACATCAACGATCACAGGCCTGAATTCACCGAGAGTGTTTATCACGTGGACATCTCCGAGAACGTGGAGAAAGGGGAGAAGATCCTTCAGCTCCACGCGACCGACGAGGACGAGGACAAGAAAGTGTTCTACAGCCTTCACGCCGCCCAGAATCAAGCCTCGTTGGAGATCTTCCACGTAGATTCGGTGACGGGTGCCGTTACGTTGAACGAGGTCCTCGATCGAGAGACGATCGAGGAGCACGTACTCACCGTGATGGTTAAAGATCAAGGGACACCGGCGAAACGAAACTACGCCAGAGTTATAGTAACGGTACACGATCACAATGATCATGCCCCGGAGTTCATTAGCGAGATTATCCAAGGAAAAGTGTACGAGACATCTCCAATCGGCGCTGCTGTGGTTCAAGTGTACGCCATAGACAGGGACAAAGGAGACAATGCCAAGATCACTTATTCGATTACTTCTGGGAACGTGGGTAACATGTTCACGATAGATCCGAATCTAGGCGTGATTCGAGTAGCTCGAGAATTAGATCTGAGCGCCTCCTCGGAATACATATTGTTGGTAAAGGCTACCGACCACGGTTCCCCGGCGTTGGCCAATACGGTGCCTGTACACGTGATGGTAACCATGGCCGACAACGCGCCACCTAGATTCATCCAAAAAGAATTATCCGCCGAAATTTATGAGAATCAACAGGTGGGCACTTACGTGAAGCACGTGGAAGCAAGAAGCACGTCCTCTTTGCAGTTCGAGATCGTTCAAGGGAACAAAGATGACACTTTCTTCGTGAACCCGAGCACGGGCATCATAATCATCAAGAACGAGCTGGATTACGAGAAGACGAAATTTTACAACTTGACGATAGCCGCGACCAACATGGCGAGCGCGAAGGCGCATTGTAACGTGATCGTTCACGTTCTGGATCGAAACGACAACGCGCCAAGATTCCTGCAAGCCGCTTACAGCGGGGAAATAAGCGAGGGCGCCACTATAGGCTCCTTGGTACTCACCAATACGAGTACCCCATTGGTCATAAAGGCGGAGGACGCCGACTCCGAGCTGAACGCCCTTTTGAATTACGACATAGTGGAGGATTTGCCGCGGAAATACTTCCACATAGACTCGAGCACGGGCGCTATTAGGACGGTAATGGTTCTGGATCACGAGACCGTTCCTAAGTTCACTTTCCACGTGAAGGTCTCCGATCTAGGAAAACCGAAACTCTCCTCCGAGACCACCGCAAAAGTAATGATCCTCGTCACGGACGTGAACGATTGTCCGCCCAAGTTCCTCGAAAACGACTATAACACTACCGTGCTGCTACCTACGTACAAGAATGTCGCCGTGATCCGAGTCAGCGCCGTGGATCCAGACAGTTCTGAAGGAGTACCGCTCAGGTACGTAAATTATTGACATTCTGTTACATGCTTTAATTCATATTCGATAAATATTCAATAAATCAATTATTTCAATGAAATTCGTAATTTTTTCCTACCTGCCTAATATCAAAGAGATTAGATCCCATTTAAATTAGAAAAATCATCGTTCAAGTAAATATCTGTATGTCTTCCGATTCAGGTACGACATCATCGATGGAAACAAGGCGCACACGTTCGACATAGACTCCCAAACCGGTGTGATCACCGTGTATAATCCGGAACGCATGAAGAAAAGCTATCTGCTACGGGTCCGCGTCTCGGACGGAAAATACTCGAGCGTGTGCCAGGTGAACGTGATGGTGGAGAAGTCGGAGAACTCTGGTCTGATGTTCCAGAAGGACGTCTACGAGGGCACCATACCGGAGAACTCGACTCGAATCACCACTGTCGCGGTCGTGAACGTTTTGGGGAGCGCGTTGAACGAGCACATTGTCTTCAGTATTCTGAACCCGACCGAAATGTTTGTAATTGGATCCACGTCCGGCGCGATCCGAACCACCGGGATTAGATTCGACCGGGAGGTTTGCGACCATTACGAATTGATAGTGGAGGCGAGGAGTCAGATGCCGGGCAGGGAGAAGCCGAGGGTGGCGCACGTGATCGTGAACGTCACTATATTGGACATCAACGACAACTGTCCAATGTTTGTTAACTTGCCCTATTACGCCGTCGTGTCTGTGGAGGCGCAGAAGGGCGACATTATTACGAAGGTAAATGGGTTACTACGGTCAAACCGGACCTTTGGAATTAGGAATAATTAAGTGGTCGGGGGAGATAGGATAAACTAGGTATATCTGATTATTATTCAAGTGGCTTTAACTTCTGTTAATTGTATTTCAAAAATTATATATTATATATTATAGTTTAAGTTCTCATACATTTTTTTTAAATTTTGTAAATTCCTTCCTTCTCACCCAAAGCTTTCTCAATTGGCTCGCAGGTGCATGCAATAGACATGGACAGCGGCGACAACGGAGAAGTTAGATACGAGCTGAAGAAGGGCCACGGAGAGTTATTCAAGGTGTGCAGAAAAACAGGCGAGATATCTCTGAAACAGAATCTGGAGGGTCACAATCGCGAATATCAACTCACTATTGCCGCATACGATGGAGGTAGACAGGCAATTTTTAGAATTTACATTTTGATCAAAGTTTAAACAGCATTCGACACGGTTTAAACTTGATTCCAGGCATTACACCGTGCTCTATCGAGGTACCGGTGAACGTAAAGGTGATAGATCGATCGATGCCGGTGTTCGACAAGCAATTTTACACGGACAGCGTGTTGGAAAGTATTGAGATACACTCGCCTCTAGCTTTGTCTATACAGGCCGAGTCGCCGTTGAATCGCAAGTTGATATACAGTATAACGAAAGGGAACGATTTCGAGGAATTCGCTCTGGATTTCAACACAGGTGAGCGAGCTTTCGTTAGTCGCATGGCAGAACAGTTTTTCAAAAAAAAAAAAAAAAAAAAAACCGTGGATGAACGATGAAACGAAGATTGAATTAAACGCGCAGCGACCAGGCACGGAACGATGAAGTTGCAACACAAACAATGTATCTTTCGACAACACGCACGTTAAGATTTAAAAAAACTGCCACGTTTTCGATTCTCTCTCTTTCTCTCTCTCTCTTTCTCTCGCGTTAGTCTTCTTTCTTCTTCTTTCTTTTTTCTCTTTTTTTTTTAATTTTTTTTTTTTTTTTCTTTTTGCGTCATCGTTCCATGCAAGATACGATACAATCGAATCGTAGATATGTACATACACGTTTCACGATTTCTCTATAGTTGTTTTTTCACGAGAAATATTTTTTTTTTTTTTTCCCCAATTGCGTCACGACAGCGGCGAACGTGTGTTACATTCGAAACGAATAGCGATCAAAATACGTTGCGTCCTAAATCCCCAGTCCCGAATGAAACGTCTCCTGAGGATTTCTCATTCCAACTCGGCTGTGGGATACATATAATATATAATAACTTTCGACCTTTTCATTACTGAAAATGTTCACTCTAATGCCTGACGAGACCGAGTTTCCCAGGTCTCTCTCTCTCTCTCTCTCTCTCTCTCTACGTTTACAGCGATAATCGATCCAACACGCGGAATAATTTACCCGATGCGTATCTTTTGTAACGTTTAAATCGTTTATGGCTGTAAGGCAATTTGTCGTTTCCATTTTATCATATCAATTTATCAATTTTATATGTGTATATAAATGATACGACGAACAAAATCCTTTCCATTTGAAAACGGCAACAGCAATGAAAGGGTTAAATATAAATGATTTATCTCGATAACCTCGATACACAAACAACCGCGCTTTCTACTTTAACGAATGACGTGTTGGCTCCGCTGTATACATGGTATTCGGTGACTAAATTCTAATCAAGTCACGGTGTAGTGGTGAGACAACAGTAGCAAATTGGGGATGTTGGAATGTATCGCACGTAACACAAGCTGCAGTTACAATTATACGGTTAATTTGTTACGTATACGTGAATTAATCATAAATAATTATATTTATATCTCAACTTAATTCCACCCCACGATAATTCAAATTTACATACGTTCCGTTATTATTACTATTTATTTATATATAGTAGTTCATTTATTTATTTATTTATTTATTTATTTATTTATTTATTTATTTATTTATTTATTTTAATCAATTAATTCTCCTTTCTTTACCAATCTCTCCCTTATAATTTATTCTTTACGAATGCTTATCTGATTAAACTAGAAATTAAAGTGTTGTTGTATCTCCCTGTTTCGCAGCCCCCGACAGTAACAATGGTCCTTGTGAGTATAAAAAATACTAGTTCTATCGGTCTGCTGTGTTGCACTGTATCACGCTACTGCACTGCTCTCTTTCTCTCTTTTTTTCTCTCTCTTCTTTCTATGATGATTTTCATGCACGAAAAGGAACAGTAACTACAAGTTTCCTTCGGCTGCCGGTTTTTCGAGCCGATTCTCGCGCGACAAATCCACATCCTGTCGGTTATCCATTGGATTAATATCAACCCCGTGCATCACGTCAAGGAGTAAGTTAGAATAACGACGAACAACGATCCGGATTTTACGCGAGATTGTCGAATTCAAGCGATAGCGAAAATCGTCGATATAGATATTTAATTGTAAATAATAGACACATGTATTTCTATTATATTAAAATATATCATTCTCAAATTGAACGAATAATAATTTGATGAAAAATATCTGAAAATTTTTTAATCAGAAATTTCTCAATTGTATATTTTTTAAATTTAAAATATTTTGAACTATCTAAAAATTATCAAAAATACGAAAAATTTGTTCTTACCAGAAGGCAGAAAATCAAACTATACGAAATATAAATGGGAACGCCCGCTTGGGCGGTCGAGACTTTCATCTGCTATACACAGCTTTCATAATTGCACGGCTCGTGCACGATGTCCGTCATTTTTCACGACATTTAACTGCTTGTCAATGACTATGCACGATTCTGTATAAAAACAAAAAGAAAAAAAAAAAAAGATTAAATCCAAGAAAGAGTAAGACTCAACGTGGCATGTGTTAATCCCCTTTCCCAAAGTAGAAGAAGATCGCTTTTGATCGTACATTTTTGCACTTACTTTTACTCACCGTCTCCCATCCAACCGGTCCTATTATCTCATATATAGAAGCAACGAAGCCGCGTGAAAAACGGGTTTGGAGCACATTATTGCTTTTAAACGCCAATACGTGGTTAACGTGGTTAACGAAGACCACACTCCTCGCGGTGACATATAGTCGCTGCAAAAAGTATTTGCACATTATTATATTCGCTACATAGTTATATTTTTGTGGACAAATATCTATGTTTCTCACTTTTCATGGACAACATCGTTTATGTCGATTATTTTTTTTCTATTATTATTATTCTTATACTTTGAAAAATTTAGCAATAAAAATAAAAAAAATTTAAGAATGAAATTTTGCTTTAGATATATAATTTAATATTAATATTTTTATATAATTGTAAAAATTTGATAGTATGGAAATGAAAAATGAGGAAAAAGTATTTTATTTGGAAAATAAGATACTTTAGTACTTAATACGTGCAAATACTTTTTGCAACTACTGTAATCTAGATCGTGTCTCAATGCTGAGCTTAACATCGGTACACTACTTTTTCTCTACCTAGTTCTTTTTCTGGTTTTTTTTTTTTTTTTACTTATAAGCACCGTGATTCTCGCGGCTTTTACTCTTATTTTTCGCATGGCGTGCCTGCACCTTACGTCGCGTGCAGAATCGAAAAAAGATACGGTGCTTGTACCTTAAACGAGCTACAATGTGTATGGCGAGAAAGGGAACAGGCAACTCGTTTGTAACAGGTTGACTGCGATACGTGACGAAATATTCGCTTATTCACTTCTTGAGATCGATCAAGAAATAACAGAGTTCTATCCTGCTTGTAAAATTTGCTTTTCCTTCGTTTTGCAACATTTTCTGATCTTACTTCGATACTTTTAATTAGAATTCTTACGAGTATTGAAATAAAAAATTATCTTTCTGAAGATTGGTAAAATAATTGATTTGAAAAAGATACTTTTAAAAAATTGTGAGATGTATATTTTTGATACCAATTTTTAATAATAAAATATATTCTCAATAAAAAATTTATTCGTTTCACAAGAACAAAAATATAAGATATATAATAATAATTTACTAAAAAATTCATGCAATTTAAAATTTATAATCTACATTAAGTATTAAAGTTTTATTATTAAGAATGAAAAATGATCTACAATTTTTTTTTGTTTAAGAATATTTATGTGATAAAATTTCTAAATAATTAATATTTCAATCCTATTAAAAATATTATGTATAGAGATCTCAAGAAGTAATTACAATTTTTTTTCATAATATTCCAAAGAAAAAGATCAATCAAATGAATGGAGTCAACCTGTTAAGTTGCACAACATGTTCGAAGGTGCAGACATTTCTGGTAGCATCCGCAAATTCATTCACGGTATCCAACCGTCTTGTATAAACGTGTTTACCACGTGACTTGCATTCAGTGTCTTTTCTTGGTGTCCGCGAATCCGAGCAACTCCTTCAATTATCCGAGTCATCATTACTGGAAAAAAAAAACACAATGAGAACCATATCTTTACACCTCATTAAATTCTATGCATATGATATCTGCATTAAATTTAAGCATCGATAAACTACACTGCTTTTCATACTACTCTCCAAAAGGAAAAAGTCAACCTGTCGATGTGCAATATAGATTTAAATGAGACTTCTTTTAAATCATTTTTTATGACATATAAATAATAAATAATAATATTATATCTAACTTTAATCATTTTAAAACAAAAAATAAGAAATCTTATCGAAAGTTTATCTTCTCATGAATCCCAATAATTTTTTTTTTTAACTATTTTGTAAACAATTTGTAAAAAACTTTGTTGCATCTCGATAATTTTAAAAAGAAGTAAAGAAAAATTTTTAAAAATTAGATTAATCCTTTTGTATTAAAATTAAATTAATCAATTTAACGATTGTTATTATTATTATTTTTCTTATCACATACGTCATAACAAAGAATTTAAAAAATTCATAAAAATGCACATCGACACGTTCGTCCGAGGAAAAAGTATAATAAAATAAAGAGAATAGAAAGAAATATATAAAAGAAAATCTAGAAAGCATACGCGACACAAATTAGACAGACACGAATCCTCCACGCTATTATTCAGCATCACGAACATAAAGGAAAAGTTTCTCGGCTTTGTGGACGCTACCGCTGCATAGAATGCTTTTGGGTCTACAATCTTCTCTTCGATAAATCAGGTGTAATCTACGTGGTGGACGAGTTGGATTACGAGCAGAAGAAGCAGTACGAGCTGACCGTCCGCGCGACGGACAGCGTATCAGGCGTCTACGCGGAGGTGCTCGTTAGCATTCTGGTACTGGACGTGAACGATTGCCCGCCCGAATTCACTCAAGACTCGTACAACATCTCGGTATCCGAGGCAGCGCCGTTCGGCACTTCCGTGTTGAGAGTCAGCTCCAGAGATAACGACACGGGTAAGTGGTTATTAAGTCCAGCTCCAATGTAGTAGAAATCCTGTTACATCCTTTCAATCTTTCTTCTTCGTATAAATCTTGTTTTCATCCTAAAAAATTTCTTAAGTTGAAGAAAGATACGTGTAATTTCTTGATGTTAATTTTATATTAATTTTCTATTTGAAATTTTCTGTTATTCTTCTTTCATAATAATAGAATTCTAGATTGAAAAGTAGAAAAAAAGTAATGATGTTATAAAAATTAAAATTTTTGCAATAATTCAATTTTAATACTTGTTAAAATAATCAATTAATAAAATTTTTCTTGAAATTTTTTCGTTTATATCATTTTCTATTCTAAACTTTTATTAAATCTAATATAGATTTTTTTAAATTCTCATTAATGTATAAAATATTAAATTATCACACTCTCTAATATCCAATTATATTTATAATTAATGTTCATTATTTCTACCAATTTGATTAATCTTAAATACAATAAGATATACTCGAATATGAATTAAAAAAATCGGAATCGAATTCTTCACAAAACTCTGTTTAAATTTTGAATTACTATTAAAGAAAGATTCTAGCTCTCTGGCTATGCTCATAAATAACGAGAGACACTCTTGTTGCAGCAAGATTAATGTTATTGTAATTATTGTGAAGGATACTCTTAGCGGGTACCAAAGTCGGATTATCGCGATAAAATATACCTTGAGCTATTACATGATTGTACGAGAATACGAGAATGAAAAAGAAACGAGAAAAGGATGAATAGAAATTCGTGTTTCTCGTTTTTATCTAATAATTTTATCCAATGATTTTATAAAGATATATAAAGATAAAATGATTTTATCTAATAATTTATTGTTGGAAACAGTGAATAAAGTTGATATATAATTTCGATTAATTAAATAGAATAGAATGATAAAATCTTATATTTTCTATTTTAATTTCCCATTTTTGTAATTATAATTTATCCTGATTATAATTTAACAATTTGTCTTTCTAAAATATTAATTAATTAGATTTTATTAATATCCCTGAATACTATTCATTAATCTATAATGATGTATTACAAATTATTCCAACACAAGAAAATCATTAACTCTCTCCTTTCTATTTAGACATAAATCAGCAAGTACGCTATGCGATTCAAAACGACACGGAAAACAGCACGGATCTGTTTCACATAGACCCGGAAGAAGGTGTGATCTTTTTGAAGAGATCTCTGGATCACGAAGCCCACGAGTCTCATCACTTCACCGTAATAGCCATAGATCGCGGCGTACCGAGTCTTTCGAGCACTGCCCACGTTTGGGTGACTGTGATCGATATGAACGACAACCCACCCAAGTTCGAGCAACCCTCGTACACCTGCTCACTGTCCGAACACGCGGAACGGGGTCAATTCGTGACTGTGGTATCCGCCAGTGATCCGGACTACGTTGACGAGAAACTAACGTACACGATAGTCGGTGGCAACGAGCAACAAACGTACAACATCGATCAATCAACTGGCATTATTTCGCTGATCAACATGCAGAACTTTGGAGAAAAAAAATTGAGCATGCTAAATGTCTCTGTCACCGATAATGTCTATACGAGCTTCGCACGTGTCAAGATCGAGATACTACCTGCCAACAGACACAATCCTAAGTTTCCCAATCCGGTGGTCGAAGTAACGGTATTCGAGAATCAGTTGCCTGGTAGATTGGTCACTAGTGTGATAGCCACTGATGATGACTTCGGAGAATATGGAACGGTCATATACAGCATACCTTCTGAACTTATGAAAGAGATTTTCGATATAAATAGATTGACAGGAGAGATTGTAACTAGGAAGAAATTGAATCGGGAAGAGCAGAAATTGTATGAAATACCTGTGATGGCTACCGATGGAGGTGGTAGGTCAGGTTTCGTGATGGTTAGGGTTAAAGTTGGGGATGAGAACGACAATTCACCCGTGTTCCTTCTGAAGGAATATAAAGCTAGTATCCATGGGAATTTGACCATAAATACGTCATTCTTGAAAGTGAAGGCTAAGGATGCTGATGAGGATGACGCTGCGAGGATCGTTTACTCGATTTATGAACCACAGACTTCGGAAGCTAAGGCCTTATTTGGAATAAATCCTAATACTGGAGCTTTGTTCCTGCAGAAAAGTGCGATATCATGGGGTAAGAAGTTAAATTTATAAATTCTATATTATTATAGATGTTGAAGTTTAATTCCATTAATGTATGTAGTTTTAGTTATATAATATTATATAATATTTAAATTAAAATATTTTATTATACTTAATTTTTCTTTGTATTTAATATTCCAGAAAATCAGTTATTTGAGCTCTTTATTCGTGCCGAAGACAAAGGTGGAGCTACAACTCATCACGCTGATGTTCCTCTCAGTATCTATATAATGGGTCCACAAGATATTCCACCTCTATTTGAACGAAAAGAGGACAAATTCTTCATATCTGAAGCATCTCCTGTCGGTACACCAATAACCAGGCTCAAAATCGTAACCAATAGCACAGTCACTTATAGAATAGTTTCTGGAGACGAAGATTCCCCGTATTTCATGATTGATGGTTATGGACAAATTACTTTAATCAAACCTTTGGACCGAGAGAACAAGGACAATCACTTGATCGGAGTTCTCGCCGAAACGGATTCCAGTCCTCCATTGACAGCTCTTGCAGAAATATCGCTTCAAGTGTTAGATGAAAATGATCATGCTCCTAAATTCGAAAGCAATCCTTATGGTATCAGCGTGGCGGAGAACGTAGAAGAAGGAACATCGATTTTGAAAATTATCGCGCACGATGATGATTTAGGTAGCAATGGAGAAGTTCGATATTCTTTCGGCTCGGATATAGGCGAATTGGCGAATGTATTCACGGTGGATGCATATACTGGCTGGATATCGACATTGGTTCAACTTGATAAAGAAAAACAACCCGAATATAAATTTCAAGTACGTACAATTAAAAAAACTAATTGCAGTTGAATATTTAATAAGATAAATTTTTGATAATTTATTGATAATTCAAATTTTCTTTTTTCTCTTTCAATTCTTTTTCTTGTTATACAATTTTCATTATTTCATATGTTTTAATTTGAATAGTTCTTTATAATAAAATTTAGAAATTTATAAAATTTAATTAATTATTAAATATAAATCTTCACCTTGTTTAGGTAGTCGCCACCGACAATGGAAATCCAAAACATTTCGCAAGAACTTCTGTGCACGTCAAACTGAAAGATTATAACGACAATCCTCCCGCGTTCGTAGATGATCGTTACGAAGCAACTGTAAACGAAGACGCACTACCGGGAACAGTCGTGGTCAAGTTGATCACCGTCGACAAGGATTCGGACGTGAACACACCTATAGAATTCTACATAACATCCGGTGATCCGAGATCTCAGTTTCAGATTAGATCGACTGGCGAGGTGTACGTGGCAAAATCTCTGGATCGGGAAACGATCGATCGTTATGAACTCGAAATAGTCGGCACCGATGGTAAATACGTTTTCAAAACACGAGTAACGGTACAGATACTCGATGTAAACGACAATCCGCCATATTGTCTGAGGTATCGTTATAGAGAAATTCTATCCGAGGGTTCTCATCCAGGCACTTACGTATTAACTGTGCTCGCCACTGATTACGATGACGAACCAAACGCCAAATTGCGTTTCTATTTAACCGGCGACAACAACGACAAGTTCTCATTGGACAAGGAGACAGGCGTCTTAAAGACGATTGGTCAGTTGGATCGAGAGACTCAAGCGAAGTATTCACTCACTGCTCATGTGCAGGATAGGGACAAGCCATCTTGGGAATGTTCATCTCAGTTAGAAATCTTGATCTCGGATTTGAACGATAACGCACCCAAATTCACCATGCAAACGTATAGTGCAACACTGCCGGAAGATGTAGAAGTTGGTACTTTGGTAACGAAAGTGCATGCCACGGATGATGATATCGGCATTAATCGCAAGATCAGATACGAGTTCATCGATTCCGCCGATGGCCATTTCCTCATCGCAACGGACAGCGGCATCGTTACGCTCGGCAAACCATTGGACAGAGAAACGAAGGCGATGTATAACGTGACTATCCAGGCATTGGATCAAGGAACCCCTCAATTGATGAGCATGACTTCGTTAATCGTCAACGTTCAAGATATCAATGATAATCCACCGGAATTTGCGTCCAAGATTTACTTCTCTAAAGTTCCTGAGATCTATGCGGTTGGCACAGAAGTGGCAAGAGTTCTCGCAACGTCTAAAGATACCGGGGTTAATGCCGATGTTTATTACTCAATCGTTGGCGGGAATGAACATAAAAAGTTCCAGATCGATGCGCGTACCGGTGTCATTATAATTGCGGAACAACTGGATTTTGAGCGTGCAAGAGATTATTTTTTGACTATTCAGGCTGTGGATGGAGGAATTCCGCCGTTGAGTAATCATGCCACTGTGAATATTACTGTGATTGATAGCAACGATAACGCGCCGATATTTAGTGAAGTTTCGTACAGAGCTTCTATAAGAGAGGACGCAAAGATTGGAGAGAAAGTTATACAGGCAAGTGAAGTTTTATATTATAGTATACAATATTTTTTAAAAATTAAATTCTATACATTGTTACATTTCAAATGATTAATATACAATTCTAATTCTATATTATAATTAACGTATCAGGTATTCGCAAATGACTTGGATAGCGAAGAAAATGGAAACGTATCTTATTATATAGAACGAGGTGACAGGCAAAAGCAATTCTCGATCGATCAGAAAACGGGACAAATTGTCGTTGCCGCTCCGTTGGATCGCGAAGAAGTCAGTATAAATCATATGCACTAATTCATTACATATCTTAATACAGTTATAATACATTCGCAATGTAATCTACAATGTAATATTTCATGTTCCAGATTGGTAATTACGTGCTAGAGGTTCACGCCCGCGATAGCGGCATACCCGTACTTTCCAGCTTCGTAATGGTAAACATCGAGGTTCTAGATGCAAATGACAACTCGCCGCTATTCTCCCTTTCAAATTATACCGCAGTAGTACAAGAAGACAAGCCCTTGGGTCACACTGTATTACAATTCGTGGTCACAGACGCAGATATCGAGCCAAATGCCGCCCCATATACTTTTGATTTTCGATCTGGAAATGAAGGTGACGCGTTCAGATTGGAACAGGATGGAACATTACGAACTGCGACTAAATTCAACAATAGAGTGAAAGATAAATATGTGCTGCATATACGCGTCTTCGATAATGGAAGTCCACCTTTATATTCCGATGCTTGGGTCTTGATCAAAGTAATCGAGGAATCTCAATATCCTCCGGTAATTACGCCCCTAGAAGTGGTTATTAATTCGTACATGGATGAATATCCTGGTGGAATTATTGGAAAAGTTCATGCAACGGATCAGGATCAATATGACACGCTTTCGTACAATTTGAATCCATCGTCTCCTATTCCAAACGATCTTTTCCAAATTGACAAAATCGATGGCACTTTGGTAGCTCTTCCACGACTCGATGTCGGTGAATACAAAGTAAATGTCAGTGTAACAGATGGAAAATTTACCATGCATTCAATAGTAAAAGTAAACGTTGATTTAATAACCGATAAAATGTTGGAGAATTCTGTAATTGTAAGATTCAGAGAGGTTAGCCCGGAAAATTTCATATTAAGCCATCGTAAAGGATTTATCAAGACTGTACGAAACGCGATGAATTGTAGATTAAAAGACGTCGTTATTATAAGCGTTCAACCTTCCACCGATGAAATAAATTTAATTAAATCTCGCACTATTCGACAAACCGTACACAATGATCTGGATCTTTTATTCGCAGTAAAGAAAAGTTCTACACCTCTAGGATTTTATGCTTCTGAAAGTATACGGGAAGCATTGAATCAGCGTATCGAAGAACTGGAAGAATCGACGAAATTGGTAGTGGAAGAAATCGTCAGATTTAAATGCAACAAAGAGTACTGCGTTTATGGAGATTGTCAAGACAAAGTTGTTCTCGATGTTACACAAATAACACCTGTAGCTACTGATGTGATGAGTTTCGTTTCGCCGCGTCACAAACACAAGATGGAGTGTAGTTGTAAAGAAGGATATGCCGGCAATCATTGCGAGCTGGTCGTGAACGAATGTGCTAGAGATCCTTGTCCCATGTTTAAAGTTTGCATTCCTGATTCTTCTGTTCAAGGATATTTCTGCCAATGCCCGGAAGGCTTCGCTGGACAAACCTGTGATATTGACATCTCCAAATGCCACGACGAATCTTGTTATATTCCACGGAATCCAATATCATTCAGTGGCAAGAGTTACGCTCGTTACAGAATCGACAAAGCCCACATCAGACAGACCATCGAGGATCGTCTTAGTTTATCTTTACGAATCAGAACGGTACAATTAACTGGAAATTTAATGTACGCAGCTGGCAAGGTCGATTACAATATTTTAGAAGTTATGAACGGAGTCGTACAATACAGATTCGATCTGGGTAGTGGAGAAGGTTTGGTTCGCGTGAGCAGCGTATACGTGAGTGACAGACAATGGCACGAAATCCAATTAGAACGGGAAAGTAACAGCGCTAAATTAACTGTAGATGGAAAACACGTAGCTCATGGATCGGCGCCCGGTATAAACGATATTCTAAATCTTCAATCCGATGATCTATATTTGGGCGCCGAAGTTAGACAACATCCATCGATTCTGGGCTTTGAAGATGTTCAACGTGGTTTCATAGGGTGCATGGATGATGTCAGAATCGCCAGAGTATCGGTGCCACTGCACATGAGTGGAGCTAGTAGCGTTGCTGTTTTAAAACGCTTTGCAAATGTCGAATTCAGTTGCGACGCTTCTACAGTTCTCGTGTCCCCAGGAATTTGCGGTTCACAACCTTGTCAAAATGGTGGTACATGCAAGGATTCTGGTGGCGACAATTACGAATGCCAGTGTCACACCAGATTTAAAGGACATGCTTGCGAAATTGATACCGATCCTTGCGCATCTTCACCCTGTCTCTATGGTGGCCGTTGCAAAATCGTTCCGGAAGGAAGTGACTTTACTTGTGACTGTGTTGGACCAAGCTTAAGCGGAAAACGTTGCGAATTCGGGAGATATTGTAGTCCAAATCCCTGTATCCACGGTGGAGTATGCGAGGAAGGAAATAATGGACCTATATGCAAATGTCAAGGATTCATGGGCGATCGTTGCGAAACGGATATAAATGAATGCGACGCTAATCCATGCACGAACGGAGGTACTTGCGTGAATGAAATAGGAACCTACAGATGTATCTGTCCTCCCAATATGACAGGACTAAATTGTGGCAACCCGGCATATTCCACACCGATCATATCTAGCCATTTTAACATCACGTGGGAGCAGCTGATGTGGATTGGTATCGCAGTCGTGCTGAACGTATTTCTGATCATTATATTCTTCACCTTCCGTCGAATCAGAATGAAACGGACGAGAGCACGAGCGAACAATATCAACAACGAGACCAGAAAACAAATCGTGTTAAACTCGGCACGACCTCACGAACACGAGTTCAAACGTAGCTCAAAATTGAGCAACTTGGAAGTGATACAGGTATAACGCATATATTCGTTACGTGTTATTTCTTTGATTTGCCAGCATTTAAAAACAAATAATTGCATGCTTTTGATTATTATATTTCGATTGATCGTAACGCCAGTGATAGACAATTTGTCATTTTATTTATTTTTCTTTAACGCCGTTTTTCTTCTTAATTTGCCATCATCAGCTAGTATTCCCTTTCCTTGCGAGTGATGCGTGTATTGAGTTTAAGGTTTTTCGTGTGATTCTTTTTTGCAGAGAGAACCTCCCCAATGCCCTCCTAGACCCGCTTCCTACACTCCAAGCTCGAACAACGAGCCGGCCGCGTACGGTAACTCCGCAGCCGTGGCGTTAAATAATTTAGATACGTTGCGTAGTTACGGCAGCGCCGGTGACGAGTTGGAAAATTTCCCTCCTGATTATTTGAGAAATCTAAACCGCAGTACACCCGTGCCCCCTCCATCCTTAACCCTTGCTAATCCAGTCGGTGGAAACGCTACAGGCAGTGACACGGATAGCCTTCATAAGCCGAGCTGGCAAGAGCAGATGCAACTAGCTTCCTTCATCACGGACACGACAAAGATAAAGAATGGTGAGTAGTATGCGTCGCTAATTCCCCCGATTCATCGTAGCTTCTTACTTTTGTTTTTTGCTTGTGGCATGCATCATGGGTGGAATTTATAGCTTGATCCTTTACTCGATCTCTCTCTTTCTCTCTCTCTCTCTCTCTCTCTCTCTTTTTCTTATCCTTCTCTGTGGCCCTTCATCGTTTCTGTTTCTTCTTCGTTCTTTTCGTTCAATCATCGGACTTTTCTCACTTCCTTTATCGCCTTTTTCGTTATGATTTATATTTCTGTCTCTACTTCTCTATCTACTCCTCTACTTTTCCTCTTTTTAATACGAATGTCCGGAAACGTATGCTGACTTGGGCGTGTAGTGAATCGAATTAACATTGGTGTATCGTATTGTGTGCGCTAACAGACCTGAAACGAGCGAGCCCAGTGGTACCAGAGCTGACCACTGGAGGACTTCTACTAAATTCTTCTCGACGCGTGCCTCATGGAGGTGGGACCTCCGTTGCCTCCATGACGTCCATCGAGGATGATCCTCGTATAGTCGGTGGTAAGTCGAGATAGTAATGCCTGAAAGAAATGAAACGAATACGTAAGGATACATTTGATATTTGGGACGCTTCGCTTATCGCTATCTATCTCTCTATCGGCTAGACTTCTTTTTTTATCCTTTATTTACTACACGATACACTGCTTTTCTTTCTATTTTTCTTTCTCTTTTTCTCTCTTTTTTTCCTTTTCAACTCCGTATCGCGGCGCTAGATCGTCGCATGTAGCGTGTCGGAGTACAGTTGTTGTCTGCAATGCTTTTAGGGTATCACTGGGATTGTTCAGACTGGGTCAGACCAAGCCAAAACCCCTTGCCTAATATCACGGAGGTGCCTGGAAGCGAAGTACCAGACTCGTCCAGCTTCCACAGCAATGAGAGTAACGAATCAAACACTCATCAGTTACCGTCAGGTGAGTATGCGACTGCATGCTCGCAGTACGTTGCTTTCTTTCGTAGCTATTAGAATAAATTATTGTTCACACGGAACGGTCTTTAACTCATTTACGTTTATAGAGATTTTTTGCGTAAAATAATTTTAGAGGAAGGTATCGAATCTTGTTTTCCTTCGAGTATTTTATATTATTTTATATAAATAATAACAATAATAAGGGATGCATGTACTAAGTACTAAGGTAGACTCGATGGTTCGTATTTTAAGTTTAACGTATTATTTTAATATTGATTCGACAGAATATGAAACTAGCAACGAAGAATATGATCTAGCAACACTAAAAATGACAAATTTTTTCATACAACTTTTTTTTTTTTTTTGACAAAAAAAAAGCTGCTTTTAATATCTAATTTAATTATTAAATTGAGAATTGAAATAACTCTTCAAAGTGCATAAAATCATGGATTATATTGGTTACAGTGCACGGCTCTGTAGATCCAGCGAGAGACATCGAGACATTGAACGAAGATCAAGAATCAGAATACGTCGGGGACTCGGAATGCGGGACTGAATTTTCTGAACAATATCAATGCGCGGAAACACAGCGTTTGAATCCCCTGGACAGTGGCGGCGAAGGAGAATACAAGTATAAAAGTTCCGAAAGTTATCTTCGCCATCCGAATTCTTATCTACCGCATTACAATATTCACACGGACACAGAGAACGAAACGAATCCGTTGAATGGACGTCTTAGTACTTTAGAATCCGATGAGGAGGAAGACGACGTAGTGCCTTATGGTTTCCCAAGCACCCGACGAAACCGATGTCACAAAGGAGACGAGGTCGATGAAATCGGTTCGGTGATCACCACTCTCGAGGAAAGGAATTCGTTGTTAGGCGGTGCGACGAGTAACAGCGATTTATCCACCAATTTGTGCGAGATTGATGATTCCGAGTACGAAATCACCGATCAAAAAAGTAACGGCCGTTTGTGGTTGTCGGGGAACGGTATCACGCAGACCTCGGTGTGACAAACAGTGGTGCCACGACTTAAAAACAAATTGAACATAATCGTCTTTTACTGTGCTTATTGAATAAAGACAGTGCGAATGTTATGTGAATATAAAAAGAAATATTGTACATACGTATTATTGAATCAGAGGTAGAGAAAAAAATGATAAAAAGTGTGTACAGAGGCAGCTATGAATATAAAGAACTGATGAACACGAGATAATTAATAAACACGGTATAAAAATTCGCATACTGAGCTAACGATGCGCGTTGTTTACGCATCGTACCTCAAATCTCCTATGTAGGTAGAGCTTAGGTACTCTCACGTACTTAATTCCGCGAAATCCTCGAAACAATTGAGTATGAAAATGACGTATTATCCGGGAGCAAACAGTTCTTGTTTTCATATAACTTCCGTTATATATTTAATAATAATTGAAATAGGACCATTTGACGAATTGGTAACTTAGAAGATTGTATTTTATCAGATGATTTTATTTAATTAACATTTTGATAATTTTATGATATATGGATTATTAAGAAAGTTTTGTTTCTTTTTAAAGATAAAACATCTTTCCATTCTACCAAAGGGGATGAGGTTTAGTAAAGAAAAAATATATATATATGTATGTATGTATATGTATACAATATGAAAAATATATGTATACATATATATCGTGACAACTATACGCAACTATTATGAGTAAGAAGTTATCTTGATTAAGAATAAAATTTGTTACTTGAGAGAAGTAAATTTAATCACGACCGCGTTGTCAGACCAATGACTATTGTTTAATAATCTATCGTTTAAACTTAAATGTTATCCGCAACTATAATTCCACTGCAAAAAAAAGTACATAGGTACATTTATGTATTTTTACTATTTGCTAACCGACTTTATTTTGGTTACGTACGAAATAAACAGAAGGACTACTTAATAATATAGATATAAGTACAGCATACATATAGTCTATAGTGAGTAAATAAATTGACTCTAGTGAAAAAAAAAAAAACAGTGCTCTGCTTCTAGGGCGAATATATGTGCATGTCTGCTGACGTTTACTGCAGCAAAGCACAATAGTTAAAAAGATATGAAATATTTTTACTGTGATGATAATAATGTTTATACAATGATCAAATACTATGACTTGTATGATAATGATTGTAATATTAACTATCCAACGTTTTTTAAGAGAAAAAAAATTAAAGAATCGCGGAAGATAGTACTCCAATTCCGTGCGTACGTAATACTAAGTCAACGTTCCGTTCGTTTAATTTCATTTTTTTTTTCTCTCTTTTTATTTTATATATATATATTTTTTACTTCATTTCTTCTTTCATTAGTCACCATCAGTTCAACAAACATAACTGCATATATGGTGCTATTACTTACATCACGCTTTAACATTTTTATCTACTCGATAAGACTGCTCAGCAATGTGGATCATTCGCAATTCATCAACGCTCTTCATAAATTACTCATAGTTCTCATACCGTTATTTTCATCATGAAAATCTGTCCAAATAACGATAATGAAACATTTTTTGAACTGCCAACTTAATAATAATGCCGTACGAACGAAGGCATTCCCCTTGATTAATTTGTGTAGTTAAGCGTGACACACAAAGAGTCAAGAAACTGTTATTTCTGTGCCTAATGTCTTTTAAATACCGTGTACTTCCACGCAAGATACTTCTTTTTCCGTTGAACAAATATTTAGCAGCAGCTTAATTGGGAGAGGTGTACACGTTCTGTTTATACATGTAGAATTCTACTGACAAATTCACTGTTTATGTTCCTGTTCTCTGATGTTAGCCATCTTTTTCTACATTTAGTACGATAAACGAGTAAACGACGTTAATAATATGAAACAGGGTGACTTTTTTTGTGTTTAACCGAGAGGAAAAGAAATTATTGTCTTCTTTTTGTGTAAGTTTGAAATAGCTGTGCCTCTCCTCTCTGAAATTTCAATGCAATTACTTATATGGATACAATGAACATGACAATTTATTCTATATTAGAATGAAATAAGGATATTGTACAGTTTTAACTTAACAAATTGTATCGGAATCAACATCAACGCGCAATGAAAATTTCAGTTTGCGTCGAAGCACAGCGAATTCTTAACTATTAAGATTAGTTTTTATATCTTATGAATTAACAGTGAAAAAACATTGGTTAAAGACTGTAAAGCGATGCGGATCATCCATTTATAAATATTGTACCAATCAGTTTATATCATGTGAAGGACATTATGAAGTATTTTGTTTTAAAGATAAAAAAGAAGAAACGCAATATTTTATGGAACTTTTGATCAAATAACAACATTAAGTTTTATTAAATGAAATATAAAATAGACTTAATTAATTCAATATGATTAATAATTTAAGCAATTGGAATTGATCAAAATAAATAAATTTCATTTATATGCGTTTACTTTTTTATTTTTCAAACTATTTATTATTGATTTGTGTACTTGATAACTTACAAACTAATAAATAGTTCCATTTATTTCTTACTTTATTGTAACTTGCCATAATTATAGGATGATGACGAACGTAGAAAAAATTAAACATAAAAAAATGTGGGTACAACTTCCAAATTCACCGCAACACTTAGCCCTGCTAATAGGATACATATCGATATCATGAAATCCTTCAAACAATGAGGAACTTGACTTGTTATAATTAGAAGGCTATAATTAATTTGTACAAGATCAACCTATTGTAATAAAGAATACAATCTTGCCTATATTTTGTATTATTATACTAATTCTAAAACCGTTATGTTATAATTGTTTTCCATTTATATATGGATTTATTAGTTAAGATTAGTAAAATAATGAACGTTTGAATTAATTAAATATATCAAATAATTTATTTTACAAATTATAAAAGTAATGATAATAATTATTTAGTAATTAATCGCATTTTTTTACTAAATAAAATTTTTAACTATAAAAAGTAATTTTATAAATAATTATCAAATAATTACTTTATTTAAAATGGTTGTATTATATACAATAAATCTATAACTTATAAAAAAAATATTGTTGCAAATTTTTTTTAAATTACAAAACTAATTTTTTTCTAATGCTAAAGTCAATAATTCATTCATTGATGCTAATAATATACGTGGATTGTCAATTAAACCAGCTTCTACCATACTATTAGTGAATAACTGAAACAAATTAAAAAAAAATTAGAATATATAAAATTTTAGAATTATATAAAATTATAGAATATATAAGAATTTTTTAAATGCAATGTACATAAATATTATTATATACATAATATTTTTGTAGATAAATAATTATATACAAAAAAAATAAATTTAAAGTAATATACCTGTTTTATAAGAAGATCTGCTAATTTTGTATTATTATTTATTAATTCACAAAGTTTTTTGATAAGAGAATGATTAGGGTTTATTTCAAAACATGGCCGAAGCAGAGAATATAACATTTCATCTCCGAATTGACGAGTTTGTACGCGGGCAAAATGTCTTGCACTTGCCATCTCTTGGACTGTAATTATACACGGATGTGACTCAAGTCGAGTTGTTATTTTAATATCATATGCTTTTCCAGATAATACTTTTCTCATATAAGTCATAAGATTATTAATATCACCTTGATTAATAATATCTAAACAAATACATATTAAAAACATATTAAAAATTAAGATATTTAATTATTAAAAATTTGAAAATTATCGAATACTTACGAGGACTATCAGATTTTGAATTTGATTCGCATAAATTTTCTTCAACAGAAGTTAAAGCATGAGATTTAAATTTTCTTAAATTTAAGAAAATAACATCATCATATGCCTCATAACAAAAAAGTACTTCAACGTTACGTTTCTTTAGAGATTCATAATATGGTGATTGTTCAGCTAATTGGCGGCTATAATTAAAATATAATAATTGTAAATATTGTTCCAATTATTTATATTTTTATACAAAAACAATTAATTTTTACCTTGGCGCTAACAAATAATAGATTTTTTTCTGATCGGGAGGCATACGTTTAGAATAATCTTCGAGACTTATTGATTCACCTGGTGCCATTGCAGAAGATTCAAATCGTAAAAGATTAGCTATTGCTTCCTATGAAAATATAAAAGTTTAATTAATAAACCACTATGGCAGAAATAAAAATGGCATATATATTAATTACCTTTTCTTCCTGAACATCAGTACTCACAATACCTTCTTTTAAAAAAATACTATAATCTTTATAAAATTTGTTATAATCTTCAATCTGTTTCTGAGATTTTTCATTCAGAAACTTTAAAATTCGTGTAGTTAGAACACTACGTAATTTTCTATAATTAAAACGATTGAACAAAATTAAAATAATTGCTAGCATCTATATATAATAATATATAATATATATAGCATTATATATAATATTTTGGATTATTTTTATTATATCTTACCCAATTAAAGTACTATTCTGTAGTAACTCGCGACTTAAATTAAGAGGAATATCTTCAGAATCGACCACTCCAACAATGAAACGCATCCAATTTGGTAAAATATTTTCCACTTTATTTTTTATTAAAACTTTACGGCTATATAATGAGATACCGCTTGTTTCACCTTTAGAAAAATCAAATAATGGTGGTTTCTGTTCCGGAAAATATAATAAAGCTCTTATATTAAGTGGAACATCGGTTGAGTATTGTAATATAAATCGTGGAGAATCAAAACAATTTCCAATAAATCTATAAAATTCCTTATGTTGTAGAGATGTAATATCTTTTGGATCAAGCATCCATAATGGCTGGAAGAAAATGTATAATAATATAATAATAAAATATCCATATAGAAAAATATAAATAATCAAATCCTACCTGTACAGTATTAATTCTTTTGCCATTAACATAAATAGGACTGTTGATAAAGTTGCTATACTTAGTAATGAGACCTTTAGATATTAATAAATATTAATTAATTATCAAAAAATAAAAAATATTAAAAATAAATAAAATAATAATATTATAATTATAACGTACGATTAATTGTATCTTCATCACTAAATTGCCGGCATTCCATATTTAAGTGTATAACAATTTTTGTTCCAGGTTGAACTTCTTCAGCTTTTGAGATGTTAAATGTATTAGAACTAAAAGAAAACATATATTCTGGAATTTAATACCGCTCAATATTTCCAGATTCTTATATTATATTCTTTTCATTTTTATTATATAAATCTAGAAATATCTATAAATTATAAAATATTTTTTACCCATCAGAAACCCAATAAAGATCTTCAGCATCTTTTGCATATGATTTTGTAAAAACTTCTACTTTATCAGCAACCATAAAAGCACTATAAAAACCAACTCCAAATTGTCCAATAATATTAGATGAATCCCCAATATTTTGCTTTTCTTTTAATTTTTCTATGAAGGCCTGTATTAAGAGAAAGAAAATTTTATATTATGATATTAAAAATTCAAAATTGTTTATATAAAAAAAATTATTTATATTATTTACAATATAAATATTATTGTGAAAAATAAGATATATATTTGTCATTTAAATTAATATTTCAAAATTAATATATTATATATATTATATATTATTTTTTAAAATATATATTTTAAAAAAATATATTATTTATAATTTTAATTTCACTTACTCTGGAACCAGACCGAGCTATTGTTCCTAAATTTGATATTAATTCTTCACGAGTCATACCAATTCCTGTATCCTGAATTATAAGAGTTCTATTTTGTTTATCAGTACCAAGGTGAATTTCTAAACTTCGGTCACCAATAACTTCTGCAGCTTTGGAATCACTTAAACGTATATATCTTAATTTTTCAAGTGCATCACTCGCATTAGAAATTAATTCACGAAGAAATACCTTAAAATACAAAAAAATCATATAATCAAGAAAAGAATTTTTGCCTGTTAATATTTATGTACTACAAATATAATATTATAAAAATATTATATATAATATTATAAAAATATTATATATGTGATAAAATTATATCAATCTTACCTCTTTATTTGAATATAAAGATTTGGCAACAATTTGTAAAAGCATTTGTGTTTCTGATCGAAATTCATGTTTAACACCTTCCTCTAAAAAAATTAAATGCACATTATATGTTACACTATATAAAATATATTTTAGAAAATATATAAAAAAAATATTTTATAAGTACCTGTAGATTTCTCAACATCTTTTATAATATTGTGAATTTCAGTGGTTTGAGTTGCTGTTTGAGATGAAAAGTTTTGCGCCAAGGTATTTGTATTTATAGCTATATATTCAAAAAGAATATTAAAATATTAAAGTTAAATAAGTCATTAAATTTAATATTAAATATTAAATTAAATATTAAATTAATATTAAATAAGAATAATTATTCAAATATTATAATATCATATCATATATGAATTAATAATTTAATAAATAATTTAATTTAATTTAAAAAGTAAATAACCTTAAAATTTAAGTAATTAGAAAAATAAAATTAAAATAACATGATATACAAACCTAAACACCGTTGACATTGTTTTTCTAAAATTTTTCTTTCAAAGCTTCGACTCAATGGTCTTGAAAGATTTTTTCCAAATTTAATTGCAAGCCGCAATTTATGAACAGTAGCCATGCTTTCGAAATAACTAAAAAATTTCCACACGCGTTTTACACGTGATTATAGATCGAAAGAACGAGACTTCAACGGATAGACCATTCAATGAATTTTTTAGAACCTCTTTATCATTTTGATATCAATTTCAATGTTACTCTTTGGATCAAGTTTTTTTTGAATTTATTAAATCTAATCCCTATCGTCAAACGTATCTCACAGAGAAAAAGAGAAAATGAAATATAACAATTAATGGAAAAAGTAAAATAAAAATTCAGAAATCAGCGCCATCTCTAGAATGCCGCAAATGAAATATGAATAAGAAAAAGAAAAGAATAAATAGCATAAGAATTGATTACCCGTGCCATTTTTTAAAAATAAATATCTCTCTAAATAGGATATTAATAATAAATTAAAATAATAAAATAGGATATTGAAGAAATGGTATTGATCCTCAATTCTATTCTATTCTTGAAAATATCTTTAGCACTCACGAGATGTCACTTGATGGTCAATTCGTATTCTATTTCTATTCGTCTCCTATTATTTATTTTTTTTTATCTATATTTATTTATTTATGGTAATCTAGAGCTGGTTCTCGAATTTTTATTTTATCTCTGTCCTTTTCTCATTATTTGTATTCTTTATTTATTTACTTGTTCCGCAATTATAAGTATATTTACAATTATGAATACTTTAATGGATAGATATTTAACATATTTAAAATTCCTAAAATTTCTATATTCTTCTAAGGACTTTGTAAAGATACTCGATTACTTCTAGCGAGGGTAGCAAGGGTTTCCGTTTTATTATAACATTCAAAAATACAACACAATTAATAATGCATATTTACAAAGCATAACGTATCCATTATTGTATATTAAAATTTAATCATAAATAATTTTTAATCAATTTAATAACAGTTTATATTGTAAATAAAAAATTAAGAATTCTATTAAAAAAATTATACCATGTGATTTTGTTATTATTATTGTTATCTTAATATGACAATAAATATTATTGACATATTTCAATAATATTTTAATACAATAATATTTATAAGATCTTAATTATCCGTTATGTAATAATATTTCAATAGTTGAATAAAGCAAGAATCAGAACAAGCGATTCTCAAATAGAAAAAGCTACAAAAATAATTTCTATAAACTTTTTCATTTTAGAAATCTGTATTTTTATAATTTATTTAAATACTTTTAAATTATATCATTAATATATATTGGATATTTAATAATGTTTAATATAAATAAAAATTTAGCGGAATTTATTTACGTTATTTTGTATTATTGTTTTTTGTATTACTTGAAAGTGAATAATTAAAAACTGCAAGAATTGCAGTTTACACATATATGGGATAAATCAGACTTAATTACAATTATACATGCAAATAAGATATCTAGAGAAAAATGAATGATATAAATATCATTGACTGTTCAATCAAGATGTTTATTCCAATTTCACGTCTCGTTAATTTTACCATATCATATCAGTATCAGATTTCGTTCGTGCCAAAGGATTTAAACATAAACTCTTAAGAACTTGCACAGCATCTTCTCCATCATCTCTCGCATACAAAGTTTGTCTTTTTGTATTTCCAGGTTCGAATGATTTTTTATAAAGACTGCTCATCAAACAATTCTCTTTATCTTTTCTTTCATCCGATCTACTCTTTCGTTTCATAGTATTTTTCGAAAATGTACCAGTTCTCTTCGCCTTAAATGAAGATCGATGTCTCCTTTTCTTTCTTAGCCCATCCGCTTCCAAAGAAACTAACGACTTTATTGATGGATAATCAATCTTCTTATCAGACTCTCTTAAATCTAAAACTTGGCTCCTTTTAGAAATGCTCTGATTCGTATCGACCATTCTCCTTTTAGGATGAGTTCGATGACGGAAATTAATCGAAGCACGCGATGATCCTTTGACAATCGGCCTTAACGTTCCTAAAACCCTACCTCCTTTGACTCTCATAGGTTCCAATAGTTCATGATCGTGCCATGAAGCCACTACGGGCAAACCGCACGCGTTATGCATGCCTACTAATGGTACACCGATCGCTCGATGTTTCTTTATTTCGGGAAATATTTGATACGTGTCGAGAGACGTCCAATTACGATTACCGCGTTTGGCATTTTCCTCGTACGCCGATATTTTTTGACCCACGTGTCCACGTTTGAAATCAATGGTCCCCCATTTACTCTTGATCCGTGTTTCCTCGTTTCTCAACCGCTTCAAATCTCTATTTTCCATCGATTCCTCGTTCGATTGATCTTGAATTCTCGTGTCTCCTTTTGATCTTCGATGGCTGCAATTATATTTTTGAGGGGGAGATTTATGAAAATAATCATCACCACCAAAATCGCTAAGATCATCCTTTTGATTCGAAACGTTACGTTCACTCTTCACAATTCTTCTATCCAACGTTTTTATCTTCGAGTTGACCTTACGCTGTTCATTTTGAATTTCGCGTTGATAATCGCAAGAATGACAAGATCTCCTGGATGGGTTTAAAATTTCCGAATGCTTCGAGGCCATGGTCGATCGTCGAATTTGAGATTTAACTTCGTTTTGGGGAGAAGATATGGTTTTGTATTTAGTTAAACGGAGACTCTTATCGGGTTCGGACATCGAGGATTCAAATTGGAGTTGAGGTATCTCTGACCGTTTTAACGTTCCAATGTTATGGGCTATCGAGGCCTGGTAATTCTTTATTGGAATACTTCTAACAGTGGCGGCGCTGCTATGCAATTTTGACTTAATCATCGCGTTACTTTTATCATCGCGACTTTTATCGAGATTATTTTTCTCTATTGACCAAGTTTTATTGGGACAATCTGGCACGACATCTATTGCACGCTCTTCGTACAATTGATCACTTCGCAACACTTCGTCGTCCTCAAATTCTGGAGAATTTTTCCATTCTTCGATTATACTCTTACTAAATCTTCTTACATCCCCTAACCTGGACAAGTTCGACACAGTTTTCGTATTTTTGATATCGATCGACGATTTACCCTCACTGCCCTCTAGCCATCTTCATGATTTAGCGCCAAACGTTGTTCCAGTCGCGTTTCTGTTCTCGATATCTAATCCTATAAACGTTGCATTGCAATGATGATTCATTTTCGTAAAAGAAAAAAAAAATTGGTTAAAAAAGAAAGGAAAACTTGTTACCAAAATCGTGATCGCTCTCGTTGAATGGGCTGAGCGTTTGCGTCGACGTAAACGTTGATGCTTGTGACTTAGTTCTCTTAGTCCCTTTTGAACAGGCGAAGAATGTGCTTAGAAGTGCGCTTACCTCCACGAAAATAATAGTAAGTCCAATCACGAGCAATATCAACGCTTGGTCTTGAGTCCATTTCTCCAACATCTCCAAACAACCCTACAACAACAAATATTATTTAATTCCTCTTTTTATAAAATAAAAAAATAAGATATGAGACAGAAAATAGTTTAGATAGAGATTATTATCGCATCTATTAAATCAGGATAATATTTATTCATCGCATATATTACGTTATATGTATCGAATAAAAATAATTGAATGTGCATAAGCGAATGTAGAACGAGTGAAAGTTTGATTTTAAATTTCACCATATTTTGCAGATTGATTGAGATAAATAATTTATAAATTATTTGAAGATTGATTATTTCAACTGATCCTCACAAAGAGAGACGAAAACTGAAAATGAAATCTAATCCCATAGAACATAAACATGGACAAAAATTAAAGAAGAAACTAAAGAAGAAAATGTTTTATGAGTACATTAGTAATATGAATTGAGTTTTTGACGAGAAATAAAAATAATACAAGTTTACAATTCCGAATCAATTTAGAGCTTGCAATAAGTAACTTGGAAGTAACTAAAATTAGCGATTCAAAATTTTATTGTAAAACATTTTCGCATATTAAAAAAAAAAGGAATAAATCGATAGAAAATACATAGTTTTTCAATAGCAATATTCAATTCTCCTTCTTTCGTCCAATCAATTTTTTCAACTCGATAAATTCTTTAAATTTCAAAGCAGACGCGACGTACATACGTTTCATTCATTCAGATAAAACGTACAACATTTCATAAGAAACTCTTATAAACGCGTAAACTATATTCTATATAGTGAAAAGATAATGTCATCACGTGTGGACAATCGTCGACACAATCGTCACATGACATTTCAATCTGCATTCAAGTTCTACGCAACGGTGCGAAATTAAATACGCGCCATGAGGAGGAGAGGGGGTGGGGGAGAGATAAGAAAACTTTCTGGCACAATAGACGAACTTCATCACGGTCCTTTTTCCGTTCCCTGTTTACCGACGGACGCGCCCGTTTCCAGATACAGATTGAACGATACATCAACGTTCGCCCCGTTTTTATGCAACCCGCATCCGACTGAATTTCCCTTAGGCGTGTGATACTCGCATGCGGGTCATTATTGAACGCGTGCGTGTGTGACAGCAAAGATAGCAGAACGTTTTCATTTCGCCCTCGATTTTACGTACGTCGAAGTTATTGCGGATAAAAAAGTGAGCAACTAAAATGCATATATCACGACGTATATTACAATCAAGATATTATTTATAGATAAACGTGACATAATTGCGGGAAAAAAAGTAAATAACTTTGCATATATCATGATATTATTTATAGATAAACGTGATATAAAAATCGATTAACAAATATACAGATAATAATAATATTATAAGAGAAATGAACCACGTAATTTTATTGTACGATGACGTATGATCGGTAAATTTCTTCGACGCTTATGGCATCAATGTACGAATGTCAAAAATAATTTCAATCAGTCAATAAATGACGACTTGCAATTACAATTATTATATTGTTATATTAATGGGACGTGTCACTCAGTCAAAATGTTTATTTCTTCCGTACACGTTTAACAACATCCTCATTAATGATACGTACCGTAGTGTGCCGGGCATATTGATGTTCGGCGGGATTCAAAGCCTGGCAGAGAGTAAGATTGGCAGGTTCGGGATTGAGGAAGGAATCGGTCTGGTTTACATTATTCAGGGTGCAGCAACTGAGAGGCACCACTAATTCTCTTCGGCCGACTTCCTGCAGCCGCCACCATGAGGTGCCGTAATTGCTGCTTCCGTTTATGCCGCAACAAGCAAACTGAAAAGATCGAGGCAGGTTTTTCACAGATTGAAAGGTGTGTGCGTGCTATTTTTTTTTTTTTTTTGATCATCGATTTCGTGAAAATCTGAATAAATAAAATTCTGTTTTGCATCTCGCAGTCTGTCTTTGTTAAACACTTTGGTTTCGAGATCGTATTTAGCAACGTACCGTTGTTTGTGCGAGATCAAGGGCTGCCGTGAATTGCTCTCGACCGGGTACGGCGTAGCTTCGCTGCAAAGCTCGTATCAATCGTGCCGGTCTGACATCGATGCCTAAAACGTGAGGCCAGAACACCACGAGAACGCATACGGTGCATTCGCCGAGTAATAGGAGGATTATCGTGATGAAATACTGGAAGTAAAAGTAAATAAAGTAAAGTAAAGTAATGAGTGAAGTAATTAAAGAAAGAGGGGATTATGAAATAAGGAATATCGAGGATAGAACTATGAGATAAAATATAATGAGCGAAGTAATTAAGAAAACTCTCTTATTCGAGAATTATTCGTTTGTTATTGAATGTTTAATGTTCGAATCGTTTTTATAAAATGAGAGATAAATATTTTTATTTTGATTCAATGTATCTTAAATGTGTAAATATAATTACGAATTAATTATATTTATTAATTATATTTAATAAACACGTGTGCATTTATTGAATTAACGGATTTTTAAATTAATTGTAATTTGTAATTATATTCCTTTGGTTTATCATATCGTGAAAAATTGATTTAATGAAATTATCGTTATGATTTTAGAAAATATTACGCTCGTTACATCGAATTTGTAAATAATAACGAATACTTCTATGATTTTATCGTAATAAATTTATAAATCAAATTTATAAAAAAAAAAAAATATTAAAGATAAAAACTACCTAGTATTATCTATATATATATATATATCTCAGCACTGTCCAGAAGTGAAATAGAGAACGATGCCTCGTTCGTTGACTCGGGCGGTACATCTTACAAATAGACTGTTACTAATAAAAAGTTAGAATTCTAGACATTCATGGCTATATTTAAAATTATTATATGTTACTTATCTAAATTTTACATCACAATTGTGAACGTTATATACGACGAAACATATCAAAACATCTTCATGGAGTAATTATTTTTTTTTTTTTTTGTTCATCTAATAAGCTCTATGAAATAATTACTGCTTTTAAATGATGCGCTTCGTCCTCCTTCTGTAAGCACGCGTGCCTTGATTTATGTAGATCCGTTTTCGAGCAACGACGCATGACGAGTAGACCGACAAAGCGGGAAATCTGGTTTTTGGTTCGAATAAACTCAATGAGTGAAATCGTACAGATTTTGACTTTTACACGATTAAAATATGTAACTATTCAGTTCACAAGTATAAAATAAATTATATAATACGAAACATCAATAAGTATAGAAAATCCGTTTTTAAATCTTCTTCGAAAAACACTTCTGAAACGTTCCATTATGAATTTCAAATTTTATTGCGTTGATCTAATTTTTGAAATGTGAAATGTGAAATTAGAAAGTCTTATTGCAATTTGTTTCTCTTTAAATATATGATATTTGAATAGAAATTATGAAATTCTAGCATTATTTTACACTATAGATATTTTTTTTTTGCAAATATACGATTATTTGTAATTTCGTTACTATTCTAATTCCTAATTCTAATCTTAATCCTCAATTTCATAAAAATGTATAATTTTTCATAGAAAAATAATAGAATATTATAAACATTCAGAAACTATTCAAAGTGTTCTATAACGTACAACAAAAATTTATAAATTCTTACTGAAATTGTGATGCATCGATTATAAAGACAAATTGCCCAACATCCAAGTAGACCAGTTAACGTGATCAGAAATCCGAGTCCAACGAGTGCAAATGCTAAGTAATAAAAAAGTGGTTGATCGGGATGTATATCACCTGGTCCCAATAAACGCGACAATAAAATACGTTCATCATCAGCTAATAAAAATGCTCCTAATGACATCAACGTGAAACCCGATATCTGAAAAGAACAGTAACATTTATAAATTTTGGCATTCGTTAATTTTTCTCATCGAATTATTATCTTTGAAATAAAACTTTATTAATTTTTAAAAATAAAACTTTATTAATTTAAAGAATAAATTTGTTTACGTGTTACATTAAAACACTAAAATGTATAATTCTGCATTAAAAACAAAAAAATAATTTAATTTATTAGCAACTCACCAGAAAAATGATGTTCGAACAACACACGAAAATTTGAGATATGCCAAAATTTTTTCTTTCCATTTTAATTCGTCGAATTCTTAAAATTCCTCTGCATTAACGCGTACACGACAATAAGAAGTCGGTGACTATTCGTCACGTCAATCCTTCACGATGACACTCCATTAATAGTCAGGATAAACAAGAATGTTAACGAGACGAGTAAAATTCATTTCAAATATATATATATTTTTTTTTAAAATCGTATCATTGATTCCTTTTTATTGCTTTTTCTTTTTTTTTTTTTTTCACCCTATCAATTTTGAAGTGTACTTGCCCGCGTTAACTTGAACACTGAAAAGCTACCGCGTGATAGATGGTTTACAGTGCCGTACGAATACTAGCATCTGTAGGTGCGCTTGCGTTACGTGCCCTCATGCGCGACCGACCGGATGGAACCGGAAGGAAATAGAAAGGCACGAAACAAAAAAAAGCACATAAGAGGGGATGAAATGTTCATATGTATGTATGTATTTATGCAATTGTTACAGATATAACAGATGCATGTCGAAGTTTATACGAATCATCGAAGGGGAAGTTAACAGGTAATCGGCGTAATCGTCATGGATGAGTAATACTCGACTTATTTATTTTTGTTTATTCGTGAAAATTTTCAATTCGATTTATAAGAAAAATTAATTTACTATAAATTAACTAATATTTAATTATGATTATATATAATTTTATAAATAATATTAATCAGGGTTTTTTGAAATATCTATTTCATTTCATTCTATTTTTTAAAAATATTGAAGTCAGTTTAAATGATGTATTATAAAAAATTAAAATATCGACTAGAAATTTGAATATTTCTATTTTTTTTTTTCTATTGAAATTAAATGAAATTAAATTGTAATAGAATAAAATTTAAACAAATAGCTTTAAATAATCTTGTTTAGTATTTTTAATATTTATAAAATGTAAATAATATCTGTATAGAGTAGGTAGGCGTGTTATACGTATTATTGTGTGTTCACGAAGCCTATCTCCTCTCGTCTACATTAATTCACGCGATATAGTATGCAGTTCTGATTCAAATAATACATATAACGTTCACCTGTAAGATATTATTACTAATTTTTATTTTTAGATAAATTTCAAAAGAAAAGTAAAAAAAAAAATAAGAAAAGTTTTAATATTATTTTAAAAATATGTAATTTAAGATTTAATAAATTACATAAAAAATAAAATTTTCTTAAATGTACATCATATTTTTTTAAAAATCTAAATTCTTATTTGATTGACTCGAACATCCAAATTGGGGTATTGTTTCATCTTGTTCCCGTTGAGTAGTATCTCCCAATTCAGGTGGTAAATGTAATACCTACAGTAAAAATTAGCAAGAAAAATTACATACATAGTATATTAATAAATATTAATTCAATAATATTTATATAGCTATTTACTTCAATAACAAATTTTTTACGGCGTAATTTAAATGCAAGATCTCGTGAATCTGGATTATGTGGTGCTATGGTATTTAAAGTAAGCATCTTTTGAAGATGTAGTAAACCATGATAATCTTTAAAAAGTGGATTCGTTTCCTTTTGTGAGCCTGCAAATGATTCTAATCTAATTGCAATATCCGATAAATGTTCAACTTGTTGCACAATAGTATCCTAAAAATGAAATAATCAATATTTTTCAACTTATATCAAAATTATATGAAAGTTTAATATATAATGTACATAAATAAAACATACGGATTTGTCAAAATATTCTGTAGGTACTGTTATCACACCAACTGCATAAGAATATCTTAAGATTGCTCTAAAATAATATAAAAATTTTAACAAGTCTTGATGCGATTCATCTTCAGAATCACTCCACCATAATCTAGATCCTAATGAATGAATTGCAATTCTTAAAACTTGTCTTTTTTCAGGGGTTTCTAAAACTGAGTATTGTCCTTTCTTCAAAGTCTCTTGAATACATTTTAATAAATTTGTATATGTTGAATTGTTAAAGATTTTGTCTTTTATAGGGCAACTATCATCGTACCATTGTGTTATATCTGCTTTTTCAATTACTTCTTTTTCCATTGTTTTTGTAAGATCATAAAAATGACCAAAAAATTGTCCTCCAATTGGAGAAGGATCAATTGCTTTCATATTTTGATATCTCCAAGCAATTTTCATTTGTTCATCAGAATTAGAAGGTTCATCGTTTGATTTAGTATCTGTTATAACAGCTGGCATCTCTGACACAAGATGAGATGTTTTAATATCTTTAGATCCAATTAATAATGGTTGTGCAGTAACTACACCTTCAGCCATAAAATATTGTAACATAACTTTTGCATATGTACCATATCGATCTTCCTCTAAAAATAAAAATTATATATATTTAATATATATTATTCATATATTAATTCTTATAAGTTTTATATATTTATTACGAACCAATAAGAAATAAAGAACCAATAGGTAATCCACCACCTAAAACAATATATAATAATATAATAAAAAAATTATAATTAAAATTGTTTATTTATAAATTCAAAAAATTATATTCAAACCTATTATATAATCTAAAGAAGGAATTCCACATGAAACAAGTAGTTGTGAATTTTTTAATGAAGGTTTTGTTCCTGATATAAAAGGAATTCTACTATTCTTTGCACTTAATAAATCCATTATTTTTTAAAATTAAAATGATTTTTAAATAAAAAATATTTTTAAATAAAAAATAATGATGGAATTATTTATTATTTAATTATTATAAATTAAAATCTTATTTTTTTAAACAATACTTTAACTTTCTAATATAACATTAAATAATACACGCAAAGTAACAATACAAAATTGATATTACTTTATTTTACTAAAATTTTTATTTAAAAAAGGTTTATTGATAATGAATCTTGACTCATGTATCACGACAATCAATTTATAATTTACATTTAGAGGTTATGTTATACTTATAGAGATTAGATTATTATTACAATATAATACTTATAATACATAATAAATATATAAATAATTGAAACATATATAATCAATTTATAAAAACGTTATTTAAAAATTCACGAAATAGTTCCATGATTTATCGATTAGAACAGATATTTTCATTACGTTAAATAAACGAAAGATGGCAACACTTGAAGCTGCTTAAAAGTAACTTTTTTATAATTTGTAATCTTTTAGCTAAAATAAATTTTATCTATATTTATAATTATAATTTAGCAATTATATATATTGTCTATAAATTTATTAAAATATTAAAATTATTTTAATTTATTTATTAAATATAATTTTATATATTCAATATACATTTATATATATGTACATATATACATTTTCTTGTTATTCAAAAAATTCAATATTATTATAGATTAATAAAAAATTCATATAAGAATCTTTCTTTTTATTTATAAAAGATTATTTGAAAAAGTCATATTTAAATATAAGTACATAAATATTATCAAAAATTTTTTAAATATGTTTATATGATATAAAATAATTTCTAAGAATTATATACATTACTTTTAAAAAAGATTTAACGGCAGACTACGGAAACGTGGCCAGACGTTAGACAGGGGAAACGCTGTATTTCATTTCCCCCTAAATAGGAAGGTGCAAGAGAAAGAAAGAAACATAGTCTGCAAAGTAGATAAGGAGCAAAGGGAACGCGTGAGTAACCCGTCTCATATATGTAAACTTAAAGCTGTGTACGAGCAGTTGTGCACAGGCCGATGTGCAGGTATCCGACACAGTGAAACTCCTCCCTGTTACTATCCTATTTTTCTCCCTTTCTAGTATATTCTACACGGTCACCTTCCTCCTTTACTTCTCCCACTGTTCCCCTACTACTGACATGTTTTCTTCTTCCAACACAATCGTGCCAATATATCGATCTCTCGCTCGCTCTTCTGGTCTTTTCCTTTCTTTCTACAGGCTGGAGCACGCTGCCCTCGCTCAACTACCTGTTGTGACGTCCAACGTACATTCGACGACACACTGGGACAATCGAGAGATTCAGTGCACACGGCATACGCTATAATTTTTCGTGTGTATGGTATATTGTATTATAATATTCATATATTGTCATTTACACAGAAAAAAATCTTTTGTTGAATTTAATATTAACACAGCAAAGTAGAGCTGATATTAATCCGCGAAAGCCGTCGTTTGTCGCATACTCCCACTACAATTCCTCTTTCCAATTCTCATGCAGCGTGCGCCGTAATGAGAGGGAGTGGAAAAGACCAAGAATAGAAAGAGAAGAAGAATATTATAGAGAGGCTCTTATTGAGAAGTTGTAGTTAGACTTTAATGACTAAAGAGGGCATTGGAGACATATTTTAGAACACATGAAAAAAAATATTAATTTCAATATATATATATAATAATATTAACATTGATTTATATTGATTCTCGTACTGATAAATCTTAATATTTTTTTATAAATAGTTTATATATTTTTCTAATAAATTATGATAATTTATATAAAAATTTTGTTTTATTATTATATTTATTATCTTTTTAAAAAATTACACAAAATAATAATTAATTTATAAACTAATTATGATTTATTTTAAACTAGATTTTATTTAAAAAATTAGATCTTGTTTTAAACAATTTTTCAGCATCTCAGAATATTCATTTATTATTAATTATTTATAAAATAATAAAATAATTTATTCATTAATTAAATAATAATTATATTTCATATTTTTTTATAAATAAATTTTATATAAAAGAAAATAAATGATTATTATCAATGATATTTTAATTTTAATTATAATAAATAATTTAATCTTAATTAAATATATTTAATTTTAATTTATCAATTTCTATTATTTTCTTCTTAAAATACATTTATAATAAAAAAAATAGTATATTAAAAATAAAAAACAAAATTTTATAATAGACGAATATTAATTAATTATAATAAATAAAATTTAAAGAAAGAAAAATTTCATATATGGCGCCAACTCTGTTTAGTTATAAAGATCACTATCAGATGGCGTGGCAATTTGGGCGCCTCTTGTATACACGGAGTTTCCAGGCCCTGAACTTAGTCGCGCGCGGTGAACGTTCCGTCCTACTGTCGAATCTTCGCGCGCGTCTCGTCGAGAGTGACAGTTCGAAAACTTCTTTTACACGGAAGACAAATGCTATCGTTCGACTCATAAATATCGTTACATTGTCATTAAATTAATGGAATGCGAACAACTTTTGCGGGTACTTCAAGAAAACATTGTGTTCTCATTACTGATTCA